AATGGATTTGAATATCAATCCGAAATCATGTTTTTTCTCGTAGGTTTAAGTGATATTGAAATGATTATAGTCACAATAGCAAAAATGGTGATCTATGAAGCGCGCCGCAACGAAACAAACCCTAGCATAGCACACCTCAATAACAGCCTAAAACACGAAGCTCAAGCAGAGCTTAATGCAGCCAGGCTGTCACACAATGAACGCATTTTTAGTGATAAATGGGGAAAACTTAAGCAAATAGCATGTGATATACATACAGCACACAGGCTGCGTAGTGCGTAGCAGCATTTAGGCACAACCAATTCTTCATCATTCATAACTCTTTCACGACACGAACAACACATTAGCGAGACTACTTCAACTTATAACACCAATTTGCTATCCCCACTATCCTTCCCCATCCCGGTCCCCATCCTCGTTCCCGGCGATGCTGCGATAGTGTCGGCCAGAGGTGAAAAAACCCTGCTACTCGCCTGCGTGCGTAGGTGACAGCCATAGGAATAAACAGACAGATTCGAGCATCTCAGTTGATGCGTTTGAAGTAGATAACTAGGCCGTTTCCGCTACAATCAGAGCTGTCTTCCCATAGAAGACCACTATGGACCACGGCACAAAAATTTAACAGCGTCATCTCTTTGTAGACAGCTGGGGCTGAAAAATCCCGCCGGTGCGACAGCCGGCGCGTTGTGAAGCGCCATAGACAACGCAGGAAAAACGGCGACAGCGCGACAGCTCGTCCCCGCTCGTCGCCGGTGAGCGGAGGCGGGGACCGGCGCGGCCTTGGCCGCCGACGGAGTAGGGAGGGACCGGGCGACTGGGACCGGGGACGTCACATCTGTGCCACAACTGGGGCGAGGTCCATGACCATCGGTCCCAGAAACTTGGTAGGAGCGTTGATAACTGGTCTTGACTACTGAAGCAAAGACAAGTGAATCAGTGGAAACTGACAATCCTTTCGTGAGTTCTGATTGAACTGGATCAGGAAGCCAGGACGAGCTAGGAAGTCGATCAGACCTAGGCAAGTTTAATGATAGTAATTTATTTTTGTTGTGTAACTATTGAAATATGGCGATGCGTTGTAATGCCCAGAGGCTGAAATTTGAAAGATCAGTTCATTTCTAACATTCTAGTCTCATTTTCAAATTTACTTTTTAGGCCTCAAAGGTGATGAGAAAACGGCAAAAAATGGTACCTTCTGTTTCGAGAGGACTTGTAAAAAATTGGCGACAGCTAGACATCGCGTAGGTGACAGCTTTTGAGTTTTATTCACCTCTGGTGTCGGCGGCGGCGGCGCGCCGGCTGACCCGCGCGCCGAGCCGGGGGTGACGACCGGGAGTGGTGAGCGGGTGCTTGCCCGGCTGCCGCTGACGCTGCTGCGGCCGTCCGGCCGTTTGTCGCGGCCGTCCAGCTTGCCGCTTGCTGCCCGGGGCATGTCGTTTCTGCCTTATGATCTTCTTTTTTTTTCGGTTGTTCCCACTTAAGGGCTAGTTTATTGAACGGTTATCATGACACATGACGCACAATGTTCGTTGCAAGAAGCCACGATGACCTTATCAGCTAAAACAGCATTGTACGAAAAAAGCAGGAAACAAAATCTACGCAAAGACTTAATCAATAAATAACATGTAGACCTATGCGTAAGTTGTGTATGTGTGTGTAGGTGTGTGTGTGTGTGTGTGTGTGTGTGTGTGTGTGTGTGTGTGTGTGTGTGTGTGTGTGTGTGTGTGTGTGTGTGTGTGTGTGTGTGTGTGTGTGTGTGTGCGTGTGTGTGTGTTATCAATGACATATCGATTCGGAGAACCGGACTCTCCGAGCACCCGGGTGGTTCGCGGCTACTCGCGGCGAGCGCGCCCCGGGCGACAAGTGTGAAGTTCTAGTGAAATCAATGAAAAAAAAAAGAAGATCACGGGACAAAAACAAAACAACACGAGAGAAAAGGGAGCAGTGCACGAATGCTGTATTATGTCCTGAATACCGTTTTCAGCCAGCTTTGGCAGTACGCTAGCACGATATCTATTAGATATTCATAGAAGCGTGCGGTTTAACCCTCGCATGTGTGCGGCGTTTTCCAGCTTCTAATGTGTAGGGGGGGGGGGGGTCGGTTGGACCCCCCCCCTTGCCGTTTGGCCCCTGATCGAGCTAGAGCTTCGCGGAAAAAACGAGCGTGTTGCCCGTGACGAGAGGAAGCCGATGATACCCAATTTTAAGGTCCTAGGTCATTGGTTGACCTTCCAGGTCAGGTCAATGACCCAAAGTCGGGAAAATCGGGACCTATTAGAAAGTCGTAAAGTGTGGCTGCTAAGGGGTTTTTCGGGGTGCTGATCACGAATATCGTGTTAGTTTTGATCAGAGATGATGTCTTTAAGCATTTAGACCAGGTCGGGTCAGGTCAGGTCAGGTCAACCAGTAGGCGTCGTGACGGGTATTCGTAGTACGTGTCAACCGCCTCTGACAGCTTCGTAACATGTTACGAAGGCACCAAAACTACTTCGTAAAGGTTCAAATGGTTGCTAAATTCGAGTTCAGCTCCAAAAACTAGCCTAGAAACATGTAAAACTCGAAAAAGTGAACCGAGGTCACCCGAGGTCACCAAAGGTCAATGACCTGACCTGACCTTCAGGTGACCTTGACACCCACCCTAATGCATGGGAGCAACATCAAATCACATGTTTGAACGTTTGAAACCACGAAAAGCTTGCAAATGCGCGGCTAATGCGAGCCGACATACGCCGAATCGCGATTCCGGCCAAACATGGTCTCGGAAAAGAGGTCACAGGTCAAAGGTCATTTGGGTCAGGGTCATGAAATTTTCAGGGTAGGTGTAAAATTGATTAATGCGAGGGTACTGAAAGTTTCGTCGCGATCGGCCGCTTTTTACGCGAGTTATTCGCGAAAAACCATGGGGGGGGGGTCCATCCGACCCCCCCTACACATGCGAGGGTTAAATCAGCGTCGCTAATCGCTCGCGACCAGCTCGAGTGGTGCGGGCCCAGCTAACATATAAATCATCATATCATGACTCGAGTGGTTAACAAACACTTAGCCATACACAATAAAAAAACGCCCGACGACAGCAAACATTAAGAAAACACTAACACTAAGCAAACACTAAGAAAACCTCCTCCCAGGTTCAGTACAATTCTCTTATTATACCCCTCCGTCCCGACCACTTAGCCGAGCTGCCGGAGCAAACTCACTCCGAGACGCCCGGAGGAGTGGAAATAAATGTCACCTACCGTTGGGCCGGATCACTCCCGTCGCTCAGAGTAGGTACATACCTCATTGGTCCATGCTAGTGGTGGGATCAGCACTGGGACTGGGCCCGACTGGTGCGGCCTCAGGCTCGGATGCCAGCGCTGCCGGGGGACCGCTGGGGTCTCCCAGATTGGGAGACCCCGCGGCGACTCCTTATGATCTTCTTAACGTTGTTAAGTTTTTCTTAACTACTTTCTTAACGCCCTATACGTTCATCTCGGCGTGTAGATTTGTAATGTTTGATGTGAAGTGTGATGTGAACAGTGAAGGTGATATGTTTGAAGTGTTCGCTAGTGTTTTCTGGCACGCGCGCGAGCTTGCGCCTCTCAGGATGAGCACGGTGCGGTCCGAGCGGGCGCGCCGGGCCACGCGCTATACGGTATACATACATACAGTGTGTAAGCGCGAGTGCCGAGTAAGAGTGCCATTTTGTGGGCAGCTCTGGGGCGCCGCTGCCATGGCGCCGCCCGGTCGCGGCCGGCGCCGCTTCTTACTTATTATACCAATGCACTGGTATGGGCTAAATAAATCCCATCCTTGGGAAAAATGTTATAAAGAAAAAATATAGCTCTGAGCTCCGCACCTCGTTGCACGTGTAATAGAAGTTCTATCGGCTGTCCCAATGCCATGCTAAAGTGCGTCGTAATGCGCATAGCAAGTAAATGATAGGCGCTGTCTTGGGCATAGGACATTTTAATAAATGCTTTAGCGCAATTTTAGGTGGAATAATTGGTGCCTGGAGACGCGAAACTTAACTACACTCGCCCAGCCGCGCGATGGTCCATGCTCCCACCCCGCCCTACTCCCCAGTCCCCGCCAGCCGCCGCGCCGCGCCGACCCGAGCCATGCCTCCGGGCCCGTCACTCACCACGGTTCGTTGGAAGGTCATTTCATGCACAAAAGAAATGGAATATACCATTCGAAAGCTGATGGTGAAATAATTCCAAAAATGTAGTTTTTATCAAAATCGTTCGATGGCCTTTTTAACCCGCGCCGGGTCGGGGGGTGTTTGAACACCCCCCTGCGGTTTTTCGCAGATATCTCAAAAACCGCGCCGCCGTTTTTGGCACACCTGTTTGTGCATCATTTCTGCACATGTTGTGAAAATTTGAGACCCAGGTCGCCTGACGTCAGGTCACCAGGTCACGCCAAGTGACCTCACCTCAGAAAAATTAGAATGCTCGTCATTGAATGCTCGTCATTTAGTCGTCTACACCGACTAAATCATTGCCTTGAAACTTTCAGCGATTGATTAGAGTAACATTATCTATAAAATGCTAATCTCGGAATTTTGATATCTGTGACCTAAGGTCAGGTCAATTTTGCGGCCTCTCCATTATAAGTCAATTGGATAAAATTAAAAAGTGTCTGTTTTGCACAAAAGCTATTCTAGACACTCTCAAACATCGAGATGTAGGTAAGATTGACACACTGAACCGGAAAATGGCAACTGTGACCCCTCGTTATGTCCCCGAGGTCATCTCAGGTCACGAACAGAATCTAACAGTTTTTCGCTAATAACTTCTGATAGAGGCGTGCTAGAGCGCTGAAAACGCCTTAGATGTGTTCGGCTCGACGTTGCGGATCGACTTTTATGCAACATGACCTTTTCCGGTCAGGTCATAACATTGACCTGGTCAAATTTTCAAAGTGACCTTTCAAGGTCATCTTATAGTTCATTCGACGCGTCTCAACGAGAGTAACACGATGTTGGCAAAAATAATGTCGTGGCTCTTTTGAGTCAAAAGTTATTGCCGAAAAACACTTTTCGTAAAAACGGCTTTTTTATAGTTTTTTCGTTCGTTCGCTTCCGGTTTCCACCGGCGGTTTATTGGGTGTTATACAGGCAGGTTCAATTCGATATACACATATAAACAGTGCGTAACTAGAAGACTTGATGGCGCCACCGGATGGCAAGGAAAGGAGATCACAGGGATTAGTAATGTTAGGGGGAAGACAGTTAGTTATTAGTGAAGGCTGCTGGAGGTGGTGACGCCATCATAAACCAGAACGTCAGGGTGAGAAATCATCAAAATCACGGCTCACGGTAAATCAAATCATGGCAGAAAATGGGAAATTGCGGCCCGCTCAAGGCCCGCTTTGTCCATCTTCGGACGGGTGCTGCAGCATTATACCCTGTGCGCCGCCAACAGCGATTGTGGGGAGCAATCCGTCAACCCCATCAGCGCTGTCGGATCAGCGCTGGGATCGCCGGATGAGGTGGCGCTGGCCAAGGTGGCGCTAGAGGGCACCGGCAAAGCGTAGCGCTCAGGCGTGAACGTCCGATGAGGTAGTGCTGTCCAAGGTGGCGCTAGAGGGCATCGAGATGGCGCGGCGCTCAGGCGTGAACGAAGATGTTCGTCGGATGAGGTGGCACTGTTCAGGGCGGCGCCGGTGTCGCGCGACGCTCAGGCGCGAACAACGGGTGATGGTGTGGCGCTGACCATCAGATGATGTGGCACCGTCAACCAGACGATGCAGCGCCGCCCATACGGCGAAGTGGCGCCGTCCATCAGATGATGTGGCGCGTCCACCAGGTGATGTGGCGCCGCCTGGGGCGGCGCCAGAGGGCGCCGACATGGCGGGCGCTCAGGCGAATGCC